TCTCACTTGAATTATTGCCTGGTCTCCTCATTGGTTTCTCCGAATCTGGATGCTCCTCGTTCTATCCCGTGTTCTACTGTGTGTCCAGAGTGACCTTTCTAAGATGCAGGTCTCACTGTTTCACCCTCCTGTTTCAAAACTCCACATGTTGCTGTTGCAGGTCTTTGAGCTGTAAGTCTAAGTGCAGATAGGTCTTGTGCTGACCTATTTCCCCATCGCCGGCCACTGAAGGCTCTGCCCACACACGAATTTGTAAGCTGGCTCTTCCTCCAGGATTCCATATGCCTTCACTGCTCTTCCTCCCTTCCTTCCTTCCTCCCTCCCTCCCTTCCTTCCTTCCTTCCTTCCTTTCCTTCCTCCCTTCCTTCCTCCCTTCCTTCCTTCCCTTCCTCCCTTCCTCCCTCCCTCCTTCCCTCCATCCCTCCCTCCCTCACTTTCCTTTTCCTCCCTTTCTTTCCTTTCTTTCTTTCTTCCTTCCTTCCTTCCTTCTTTCTTTCTTCTTTCTTTCTCTCTCTCTCTTTCTTTCTTTCTTTTTTCTTTCACCACCTCTCGCTAGGATGCCCTTCTCCCCTTCTCCAACTGGCAAACATCCTTAGGGAACCAGACAAATGTCTCCTTTCCTCTAGACCCTTCCCTGATCCCCACATCCTTCCATCCTGTTGCTCCTTCTGTGCACAGATAGTATTTTTTTAACACTTGTCTGTTGTCCCAGAGAACAACTTTATGACATAGTTAGTTATGTGCCTGTAAGCACTGGTCTTGGCACAGCCTGGCAGAATAGTAGGGGCTCGAGAAAACTCGAGAAAAGTTGGTTGGTTTGAGTAAAAGAGTACATGGAATGATAGGGTCCAGAAGGACCTTTATTTTTTTTAAAGATTTTATTTATTTATTTGAGAGAGAGAGTGAGAGAGAGAAAGAGCACAAGAGGGGGGAGCGGGAGAGGGAGAAGCAGACTCCCCACCGAGCAGGGAGCCCGATGCGGGACTTGATCCCGAGACCCCAGGATCACGACCTGAGCCGAAGGCAGTCGCTCAACCAGCTGAGCCACCCAGGCGCCCGGGTCTAGAAGGATCTTATGAGATGGAATCTAACAAGTGGAATATCATTAAAGGTATATGTAGAGGAAGAGAAATTTTACAAGCACAAGGATGAAAGTGATGTGGTTTAACAACAAAATGTGTTAAAAAATTACTTAGGGGTTTTGGTTGACAGCTCAGTGTGAGTCAATACTATGAGGTGGTAACAAAAAAAAAATAAGAAGGAAAGAAAAGAATATGAAGTTTCTTAAATGAAGAAACTGAGTGTCTGCTGTTACACCTGGGGTATTGTGTTTGGGACTGTGTATTGTGTTTTTAGAGGTGTTTAGATTAGAATAGCAATAATTATTGAAGTTATTTTCTTTTTAGTGTTTTTTAAAAAGATTTTATTTATTTATTTGACAGAGAGAGACACAGCGAGAGAGGGAACACAAGCAGGGGGAGTGGGAGAGGGAGAAGCAGGGGAACCCGATGCGGGGCTCGATCCCAGGACCCTGGGATCATGACCTGAGCCGAAGGCAGACGCTCAACGACTGAGCCACCCAGGCGCCCCTTATTTTTAGTGTTTTTTGAAAAAATTTACCCAAACAGAGAAAGCACTAGCTAACACAATCAAGAAGAAAAAGGGAGGAAGCACAAATGTGCAAAACAAGAAATGGCAGGGGGAAAGGAAACCATCGAAACAGATAAAAGTGTACAGAAGTCTTTTCAGGCCTCCCAGCAAATACATTTGAGAACCTTGTGAAGTGCATGGTTTCCTGGGAAAACACAGATTACCACAACTGATAGAGATAGCAGGTGTGAACAGAACAATTTCTGTAGAGGAAAAAGAGATACTTATTAAGTATCCACCTCTCAAAAAAAGCACCAGGCCCAGATTTCTTCACAGAGAAATGCTACCAAGCCTTCAAATATCAAATAGTCCTGATTCATTATTAAAGAGAATTGAAAATGAAGGGAAACTTTCCACTTCTTTTTATGAAACAAGTATAATATTAACTATCTACACATGATACAGACAGTACAGAAAACTATTACTTATTCATATTATTTATGAATATCCATGAAAAAATATAAAATATATAGTGCCAATATAAGACAAATATTTTATTAACAAATGGAATCCAACACTACATAAAAATATAATTCACTATGATGAGGCAAAGTAAGTGCATTATTTGGAAATCTATTAATACCATATACCATATTTTTTTAAAAAAGATTTTATTTATTTATTTGACAGAGAGAGACAGTGAGAGAAGGAACACAAGCAGGGGGAGTGGGAGAGGGAGAAGCAGGCTTCCCGCTGAGCAGGGAGCCTGACGCGGGGCTCGATCCCAGGACCCTGGGATCATGACCTGAGCCGAAGGCAGACGCTTAACGACTGAGCCACGCAGGCGCCCCTATCATATACCATATTAATAGGTTTTAGCTTAAATAATCATAGGATTATCTCCATAAATGCTGACAAAACTTTTTCAGAAGTCAACATCCATTCCTCATGAAAATATTCATAAAACAGGACTTGATGGATACTTTCTTAACATGATTATATATATATATACACACACACATATATATGTATACATAATCTATATGTATATGTATATACAATATATGTATATCAAATATATGTGTGTGTACATGTATATATACACACATGTATGTATTTATATAGATGTATGTATATACACAAACATAATATGTTTTAATCTTAGTCTTAAAACCAGTAATATTAAATTGGGAAAGACTATAAGTATTTTCTTTAAGACAGGAGCAAGGAGAAAATGGCCACTATTCCATTGCTTTTCAACTAGATGTAACCAATACCGTTAGACTAAAGAAATTGATTAGAGGCACAAGGATTAGTAGAGTACAACTATCTCTGTTTGTGGATGATATTTTACTAAATCTGGAAAACCACAAAAATCAATGATAAGACTAAAACAATAAAAGGTAAGGTAACTAGATGTAAAATTAACTTACCAAAATCAATAGCCTTCATATACACAAACAATAACCGGTTAGGGAACATAATAGGATAAAACCTTTACAGTAACAACAAAGATTAAATATTTAGGAACTTAACAAGAAATGTGCAAACTTTAAAACACTCCCGAAAGACACAATTAAACAAATGAAAAAACATCCTGTGTTCTTGAATAAGATATTTCAACAACATAAAGATGTCAGTACTCCTTAGGTTAATTTTAAAATTTGACACAATCTTAATAAAAATTCTAACAAGTTTTTAAAAGAAGTTAGACAAATCAACATAAAGTTTATGTGGAAAAATAAATATGCAAGAATAGTAAAAAAAACACTAATGGTTTTTTAGTGAAGGGACTAGCCCTTCTAGACATTAAAAGGTACTATAGAGTGCCTGGGTGGCACAGTCAGTTAAGCATCTGACTCTTGGTTTCAGCTCAGGTCATGATCTCAGGGTCGTGAGATTGAGGCCCACATTGGGCTCTGTGCTCAGCGCAGAGTCTGAGATTCTCTCTCTACCTCTCCCTCTGCCCCTCCTGTTCATGCTTCTCTCTCAAATAAATAGAACATAAATCTTAAAAAAATACTATAAAGCGTCAATAATTAACACATTGTGATATCAGTGCATGAATAAATAGATAAGTGATATAGAATAGAAAGCCAAGAAATAAACCCAAAAACGATTGGAAATTAAGTTAATAATAAAGATGGCATCTCAAATCACTTGGTAAAGAGAGTCTTTTTTTTTTTTACTTTATTTCCTGCATTTTTTTTATTGTGGTAAAAAAAACAATATAGGAGTGCCTGGGTGGCTCAGTCTGTTAAGCATCTGACTTTGGCGCAGGTCATGATTTTAGGGTTCTGGTACCGAGCCTTGCTTTGGGCTCCGTGCTCAGCACAGTCTGCTTCTTCTTCTCCCTCTGCCCCTCACCCCACTCATGCTGTCTCTCTCTCTCTCAAATAAATAAATAAATTAATTAAATCTTAAAAAAAACCCCATAACATAAAATTTACCATCTTAGCCATTTTTAGGGGTGAAAGTTAGTGTTAAGTTTATCACATTGTGAAACAGATCTTCAGAACTTTTTCCTCCTACAAAACTGAAACTATACCTTGTGTGTGTGAGAGAGAGACTGGATTATTTCATTTATAACCATGTCCTCAAAATTCTTCTATGTTGTATCATGTGACAGAATTTCCTTCCTTTTTAATGGACACTGGTTTGCTTATTTTTTGGTTATTGTAAATAATGCTGTATAAACACAGGTGTACGAATATCTCTTTGATTCCCTGCTTTCAGGACCATTGCCTTAAGGCAATGGTGTTAGCCTTGCTTATCCGTGCTGAAGACATTAAGCATTCAGTCTATCAAGCACATGAATAAAAAGACTGTATGATGTGAAGCCCTTTAAAAAGCAAAGCCACCAATTTTTCTTTATAGTTTTTTGATGTTTCATCATTTAAATAGATCATTTCTACTGTAATCATCATATGTATAAAAATGATTATCCAGTAAGTACAGTTATCTTATTTGTTTACTTTAGCATAATTCTGATAAATTGAAAAGTTTTAAAGTAAAGGGAAAATACAAGATATGAAGATAACTATTTCTAAAAGCGTAGGAACCCATTTTAATTGAGAAAATGTCAAATATTCCATATCCTTGCATGTTATTCTCTTGGCTATAGGGTAAAAATCAGAATTATCTTAGGAATCACCAATTTGGAGGGTTTTTTTAGCCTTCTAAGTGTGAGTTTTTTGACGGGGTAGGGGTCAGGAGAATGTAGGTTGCTCTTTTCTATTGTACTCCAGGATATACTCAAAAGGTATCATCCCTTAATTTCAACTTTTCTGAATAATCAAGTTGTGCTGGGAACCCATTCCAATTCCTTATCTCTATATTTGAAGGCTCTTGTTTTTACCCCGTATTTTTCTTACTGATATTTGTTTTTCTCTTTTTGCTCCTGTTTGAAGGTACAATCACTGGTTTGATGGAATGGCTTTGCTTCACCAGTTCAGGATGGAGAAGGGCACGGTGACCTATAGAAGCAAGTTCCTGCAGAGTGATACATATAAGGCCAATAGTGTTCATGACCGAATTGTCGTCTCAGAATTTGGCACGCTGGCTCTCCCTGATCCATGCAAGAATGTTTTTGAACGTTTCATGTCAAAGTTTGAGCTGCCTGGTAAGCAGCCTTTACTGTACCCAGAATTTCTGGGTGATAGTGATGATTCTTTAATTATGGTATGTGTGAATCTATATAAATATATATTTTGAAATAGATTTTTTTTTTGGTATGAGAGGATATTTAAGCTGTTTTGTTGCTCTGATTGTGTGCTACCGTACATTGTGGTGTTTAACTCTGGGGTTTGGTTTCAGCAATGACTGACAATACCAATGTCAACTATGTGCGGTACAAGGGCGACTACTATGTTAGCTCTGAGATCAACTTTATGAATAAAGTGGACATTGAAGCTCTGGAAAAAACAGAAAAGGTAAAATATAGGCTAAAAAATGAATAAAATGGACCCTAAAATGTCTTTCCTTTCAACATACTTTTCAGAGTAGGAGATATCTGAAGAAGAAATTGGAGGGGCGCCTGGGTGTCTCAGGCAGTTGAGTGGCTGACTCTTGATTTCGACTCAGGTCCTGATCTTGGTGTCCTGGGATCAAGCCCTGCAACTGTCTTAGTGCTCAGCGGGGAGTCTGCTTCAGAATTCTCTCTCTCCCTCTGCGCCCCCTAAAATAAATAAAATCTTAAAAAAAGAGAGACAATTCTAGACTTCTTCTTCCTTAGTCCTAATATCTGAAGGCTATGGTAAAGGAGAAATAGAATAGTATAGATTTACTTTGGTCATTTCATGTTCTTCCTAGCTACAGGTAGAATTGGACTAGAGATTGTCTAGACCCATACTGCTTTCACTTAACACATTAATTAAAAATAAATAAAATTTTGGACCAGACTTTTAATTTTAACTCTTATTTTTAGTACTTTCCTGGAAAAAAATCCTTATTGGATAATCGTTTCTGTCCATTTGTTGTTGCTGGTGGTGGAGTTTTTGTTTACTATTTAGTCTCAGTTTCTTTAGTAGGAAAAATAATTTTGATTTCTCAGAAGTAAGATTAGGGCTTATACTATAGTTTTCCTATTCTATTTTAAAAATATTTGACACATTCCTACTGTCTCTGCGTCTACGTAGAGATCTGCCTGTGTAACATTTAAAAGTCCCTGATGGTCTTAAATTTGCAGGTAGACTGGAGCAAATTTATTGCTGTGAATGGAGCAACTGCACATCCTCATTATGACCCAGATGGAACAGCATACAACATGGGGAACTCCTTTGGGCCACGTGGTAAAGTTGGGATGGGGGTCTTTTTAAAAATAATTAGGGGTTAACTATCTTCCCAGGGTTTCATAATGGTTAAGGTTGTAAGCCTACGGGAACTTTGTTTGAAATGTTCAGAAAGAAATCTCCAAAGTGGTATAACTGGGCTTAAAGTATATAATTTCCTGTGTTCTGTGGTCCTTTTGCACATACACTTAGCAACTGATTTGCTATTTGACCTTTTCAGCATGACTTACATTTTTATATTCTGTTGTGCTTTTTGGCTCACAGGCATTGTAGGGATTTTCAATATGTATTTCTCAAACTTGAATTTCTTAAAAGTATCATATTGTAAGTACACAAAAAGTAGAATGCTGCAGCAAAGAGATATGGGGAAGGTACATTGCTTATCACATGGGAAGGAATTTATTTTTATCATGGGAGTAACACACCATGAGGTAAGTTAAGGTTATAGTGTGGTTGTATTTATAGCTGTTTATATCACGTCTCTTTCCTGGTCACCCACATACTTTTCCAACTGCCTACCTATCTGCCCCAGAAAGTTCTAATAGTTAATAATGATAGCTAACATTTACTGAGCACGAGTGTCTAGTATATGCTGGTGTTAAGCATTTTTCCATATATTTTCTCCTTTAATCCTTACAACAACTCTCTGAGAAAGGTACTATAATTGCCCCATTTTACAGACAATGGCAGTGAGCCTTGAGAAGGTTTAGGATACTTGCTTAGGCAAACTTCTAAGTGTGTAAGACTGGTCTTGAGCCTGAATCACATCCAAAGTCACTCTGATAGACCATCTTAGAAATTACTCATTGCTGAGTACAGAAGACTCTCAGAGCGTGCAAATTCATGTTCCTATAACCTAAGTACATGTCTCTCTGTTTGAAAAGAAATGGGTCAGGTGCCTGGGTGGCTCAGTTGGTTGAGCAACTGCCTTCGGCTCAGGTCATGATCCTGGAGGCCCAGTTTCGAGTCCCACATCGGGCTCCCTGCTCAGCAGGGAGTCTGCTTCTCCCTCTGACCCTCTCCCCGCTCATGCTCTAACTCTCTCTCAAATAAATAAATAAAATCTTAAAATAAAGAGAGATGGGTAGCTGTTAGATATTTCTATCTTGGCTGTCAATCTATCATCTATAACCTGTGAAACCTCTGTAGAGTTTAACTTTTGTGTAGGTTAATGTATACTTTTGGTGAGTAATTGGCTTTGCAGGTTGTTGGTCTCTACCTCGCCATATTTATACCTGTGATGTATATTAAAATGAATACTGCAGGTGTGTTTTTTACTTGCTCATGTAGAGATAGGGTACCCTGAAACTTCATCACCCAGGTCTCTCTCCTCTTCTTTATTACCTGATCTAGGGTAGGGGTGTATCCTTCAAAGCTGTTATAGAACACAGCAAACACCCTTTTAGGTAAAATCTTTCAGCAAATGGGTAAACTGACTCAGCAGTTTTTTGTCCATCTTTTCTGATCATTAAAAAAAGATTCATTTTTTATTTATT